GAGTGCGAGCTCTGAGCAACAGCAGTTCGATTCTTGGCCCAAGCTGAGCTGCTGCTGAGCTGCCACCAGGTGGCAGGACGGCTCAGCTAAAAAAAGAGTTAAAGGTATTTCCACTTGCTGGGAGGAATAAAATAAAATAGATGACTACATATTCCAGGGAATATAGACAAGTTGTCTCAAAATATGTTGGTCATGTGACACATTGGGGGGAAAAAATGTTTGAGGACCCTCCATATATGTATATTTAAGTTTGTATAAATATAGTCTTTTGCCTTATAGAACAGCAAAATGATGCAATTCTAAAAAAAAAAAAAAAGATGATAAAAATTAAAAACAGCATTTTTCACAGATTTAGCCATTGTCTCAAAACAACAACATATACTCAGGGTACAGGGCACCGAGAATTGTAGGTTTCAAATTAAATTTCAAATTGTCGTATCTGTTATTTAGTCAAAAGGGGGAATGGAGGGCTGACACACGCTACAAGCTGGAAGAACCCTGAGGACATTACGCGAAGTGAAATAAGCCAGGTGCAAAAGGTACCGTGGGACTCCATTTCTATGAAATGTCCAGAACAGGCAACTCCATGGAGACGGAAAGTAGACTGGTGGTTGCCAAGGGCAGAGGGAACAAGGAGTAGTAGAGGAGTAAGAAACAGGGGGTTTCTCTTGAGGGTGAGGAAAATGTTTGGAAATTATATAATAGCGATGGTTGCATACAGTGTTGAGAATATACTAAAAAACACTGAGAATTGTGCGCTTTAAAAGGGTAAACTGAGGGCCGGCCAAGTGGCATGTTGGTTAAGAGCTGGCTTGGGGCGCCAGAGGGCCCCAGTTTAGATCCCACATTTGAGGGCCAATGACACTGCCCTCAACAGCTAAGATGCTGAACAACGGCTCAACCTGGAGCTGGGCTGCCGTGAGTCGCCAGTGGCGGCGTAGGCTGCAGCCCCTGCTGCAGTTGCCATGGGCTGCCGTGTGTAGCCAGCAGCCAGCGTGAGTGGCCAGCAGCTGCAGTGAGCGGCCATCCAGAGGCCGGCGACTGATCTGCCTCATCCGGGAAGAGCGCAATGATGGTGCCAACTTGGGCCAGTGAAGCAACGTCCTCCACAACTAGACTGAAGAACAAAACAACAGCAACTTGTCTGTTCCCCTTCCCCCAATTCCCCAGCGCTGTTCCCATCCCCCAATTCCCCAATAAAAATCTTTAAAACTCAAAAAAATTTTAAAAAAGGGTAAACTGAGCCCGTTGGCTCAGTTGGTTAGAGAGCACAGCTCATAACACCAAGGTTGCCAGTTCAATCCCCGCATGGGCTGCTGAGCTGCGCCCTCCACAACTAGATTGAAACAACTGTTGGGTTGTTGGAAAAGTCATGATTTATTTTTTTCTATGTTTTTCGTTGCAAAAATGCATCATGACTTTTCCGACAACCCAATACTTGTCTTGGAGCTGATGGGTCCTGGAAAAACACACTGTACCCCAATTAAAAAAAAGAAATAGAAGAAGAATTGAAAAAAAGGGGGGTAAACTTTATGGTGAACTATATTCTCAATTTTGTTTTAAAGGTACCAATAAATAAATAAACCAAAGGAAAAATCATCACATCTCCTTAGCCTATCATGGTTTGACCTCGTAATGTTTGGCCATTTTCCTGTAGTTCACTTGGGCTTGTATTAATCATCTGGATTTTTCCTGCAGCAATCTTTTAAAGCCAGCTGCTCTCTTTATGAGGGTCACTTAGTTAAATAACAACCTCAAACCAGTCACCTGGACACTCATAAACTGCAATCTACACCGTAATGTTCTAAAAATGACCAATCACAGAATACCGACTCCTTCTGCAGGGCACCTCAAGGACTGTACCTGACAAATGTCCGTCTGATACAAGGAGTGGGGGCCCCTGGGTCAATCTCAGCACTACTAGTAAGATTTAAATTTTGCTTTAACTTGGAAGGTGAAAATGAAACATCAATAGACGCTCTCAAATTTTCTTCTTCTACCCCAACAGGTCATCTCGCAAACTCTGTTTTGGAGCCCACAGATACAGACACCGATATTCTGAGATATCAGGGCAAGCCTTACATTCGCAGTAGCTGTTCTCAAACTCTGTGGTACTTTGGGGGGTCTAGAGATTCTGACCGTCCCATGTGATCTGACCCAGGGGTTCCAAGCACTGTGCCCTTATAAAACACTGTTGTAAAACCCAGTTATTAAACCCTGACAGATAAATGACGTAATAGGCTGGAGGGAATCTTTGTGGAAGAGTGGGTATATTCTAAGATTGAACTGTGGTGATGGTTCTACAGCTCTGTAATTTACTAAAAAAAAAATCATGGAATTATACACTTAACATAGCTGAATTTTATGGTATGTAAATTATACCTCAGGAGAGCTGTTAAAATATAGAAGCAAGGCTTCACATGTCTCGTCACAAAAGTATTCATGTGTTCCCTGAGAAATTTTTAGATGTCTTGACAGAAGGATACACAGGCCTCGTGGGGGGCGGGGGAGGGGGCGGGAGGTAACATACACATAAATATATATATATGTTAAACTATAGTTCTGAGCTCACACCAACCTCGAGATGACCTAACCCCGTAACACGCAGCTATTTTAAACCCAAGGCCAGGGTAGGCAAATCAATTTATGAGCTTCTGCGAAGGAAGGGTTAGGATTTAAGAGTTCATGGTAAGAAATGTCATTTTCTGACTTTTAACACTTTATAGAGAGTGTTATCTGTGCTAAACCAAAAACGGACCATCAAAGCTGAACTACACACATATCGGGAGTGGCAATGGCTTCTGTAAATACCACCAGCTCTTAAAAATACCACCAAAATGGGTGAGGATGTGTCTCCTGCCCAGGGTACACACCACAGCTCTGAGGCCGTCTGATGTCATGAGCAGGCCAGCCAGCACTGCTGACAGGCATTCAGCCCGGCGCTCGGGTCCTTGGGATGGCTAAGAAGGAAGAATCTACTCCAAGACACAGGAACGAGGCAGCTCGCCCGGCCCCAAATGCTAAAGGCAGGGGTGTCACGGGGATGAGCAGGAACAGAGAATGCACAGCAGGAGGGACATGGGGAGGGGACACAGGCCACGGCTGGACCACGCCGGAAGTCTCAGATCCCAAGAGGGAGCAAGCCAACAGTACAAGGGTGTTCCTGTGCTCCTAGGAGGGGGCCATGGAGAGGAGCAGGAAAACTGTGGAAGGTCCTGATAGACAGAGGCCAGGTGCGTGAGAGCGGATGAAGACAAACAGGTGACCTGGTTGGTGGGCGCGGGCCTGTGACTGAAGGCAGGGGTGGGTGATGGGGGAGGAAGCAGGCGTGTTTCCCAAAACCTAGCATGGAGCAGCGGGGTAAATGGGTGTGGCACTTTCTAAGACCAGAACCTGTGGAAGATCCGCACAGGTGTGATCCGCCAGCAGCAATGCCAAGCACGCAGGTCAGGCCACAGACAAGAGAGAGGATCCATTAGCATCGACAGCGTGATGGGAGCTGGAAGAGGGGCCACCTCGAGAACGATATATGGGGCCCAGCACAGAGCCCGGGAGACACCAACACGGCATCACCACACAGACGAAGGTGAGTCAGTGAGACGGAAAGGAGCCGGGGGCTGACTGTGGCTTTTCCTCCCTGTCCAACCAAGTCCTCATGATTTTTTTAATCGTCCTAAAAAAAAAACATCTTTGGAAAAGATCCATGGATCCACTGGGAGACAAGCCATGTGTGTCATAAGCGGCAAGAGTTTCATGGCTGCTGGATGATGCCATTACATGGATCAAATGAACTGTTCTCCATTTACAATCCTTTCCCACTTCCACTCTCTCTCCCCTGCTGGGCCGTTTTCAGCAGATACCCCAGAAATCCAGGTGTGCCTGCTAAGCAAACGTTCCAGAAAATTAAACGTCGAATATGACCGAGTCATGCAGTATTCGGGGATTCCTCCTTTTAACGCTTATACAGAAATACTTTCTTCACATTTTTAGCTGGCCTTCCGACAATAGAATCATTATCTGTTTTGACCAGTTTAAGCAAAATATGACCTCTTTATCCTCTTGTACACAAACAAGCATCATACCATGTACCTGGATGTGTCTCGGAATTACCAAGGGGTCTATCTGTTAGTCGGTTGTGTCATCTTACTTTTTAAAACACAGAAACCCAAGATCTCCCCTAATATTAATGAATCAGGATCTCTAGGGTATCAGGCCCAAGTCAATATCTGTTTTGGTTCTGCTCAGTTTTTAAAAACATCACCAGTAATTTTGATGAGAAGCAGAGGGTAGGGACCCACTTTCAAACTTTCTAGGCATATTAGGACACTGACCACTAGTAATATCTTACTCTGAAAAATGACTAGTTTTGAAAAACTACGTAGAAAAACAAAAAATATGGGAGCAAATAAGTTGGAAGTCATCTCTGATAAATTCATTTATTCGCCATGATTGCTGAGCTGAATAGAGACAAGTAAAGCTAATCAGTACTACCATGATTATGTCATAAATAGACCGTCAATTATTACTGCTTTGGCTCATAATCAGGGAAAAGGAAAAAATAGCATGTTCATAAAACCAACCACAATAGGTTCTCAAAGCTCTATCTCGCACCAGCTATTAGGCAAACAATTTTCTCTAAGTTTCCCCAATATTCATTATTATTTCAATAGAGCAGATTAATTACGGTAATCAGAAAGATGGGGGAAAACCTCAACTGCAATTTTATTCAAAATGCAAAAGGTTAATGGCTGCCAAAGGTTCAGAGGGAGAGGTGGTTGCAGGGGAATGAAGAATAACTGCTAATGGGTACGGCGTTTCTTTTGGGGTGATGAAGATAAAATTGATTAGGGTGATGCTTACACAAGCCTGTGAATATACTAAAAACCCACTGAATTGTACACTTTAAATGGGTCAATCATATGGTATTATGAATTATATCTCAATATATGTATTAATAAATGTAAAGGAATTGTTTTGGATATCAAAACAGAAAGCTTTACCTGAGTGTAAATACTAAATATGTGGCTTTGTACTTCGTCCATTGAGTCGAGGCCATAGGCCACTGTGCCTAGATGGAGCCGCTTGAAAACCATCTCATTCTGGGTAAGAGTTCCTGAAACATAAGACAAATGAGTAACTGCCTACATCCTTGAGCTTTTATCAGTATTAGCAGTAATGATAGTTGTTACATTCTGAGTTTACTATATATCACACACTGGTTTGAGCATTGTCCCAATGGAGTAGACATCAGTAGTATTTGGTCTGCCCAGAATCCAGTTCCCTTTTGAAAATGACATCCTAGGTCTTCATGAGGAAATTACCACCCTCATTTCCTGGGATGGTCCAGAGGGAGTGTCATTCAGGGTGCCTGACTCATCCCATTGGCCAAGAGGGTGGCACATGACATATAGTAGGCCAATCAGATTCTATCTTGAAGGAACCTGAACCTTGAGCTGACAAGATACATATAGATGAGTAGGGCCGAGTCATCCCAGTGACAGAGCCCCACAGAGACCATCCCAAGGTCCTGATGCTGACATACCCAGAACTTTCCTGGGTCCTCGCCTCCCTGATACCCAGTTTTTCTCTGATTTGGTGAGCCACTCTGGATCTCTGCAATAGATTCCCTCTTATCCCGTGGTCACTAAACGGTAGAGATGAAGCTTAAACCCAGGTCTCCCCACCCCCCAAGCCCTTGCTCTTAACCACTGTGATCTTAAACTGTGGAGTAGTATTTTGGGGTGTGGTTATGAGGTCAAGACTTCAAGCCAGACTGCCTGGTTACAAGTCTGCTTCTGCCATTATGTGCTCATGACAAGTCAGTTAACCTTCATTTCCTTATTATAAAACAGGGATAAAAATACAAGGTTAGGGTAAGGATTAACAAAGTAACTATAGATAAACACACAGAACAGTGCTTTACACATACATAGTGGTATGTAAGGCTGTGCTACAAATAACCAATCTTCATCAAGAAATACGAAGAAAATAGAAGAGCAGCAGCAGACATCTCCAATATCTCTAGAAAGGGGACCCCAAGCTGTGCACCTTCTCCCAGCTTGAATCCTGGGAGGGCCCCAGGAGGCTCACCTGTCTTGTCTGTGAGTAAGTAAGAAATCCTGCCCAGCTGCTCAGGAATCGTGCTGGAACGAACCACGGTGCCGGGGATTTTGGAATCCCTCCGGATCACCCAGCTGTACACAATCTTCCCCATGTCCAGGTTCACACGCAAACTAGTCAGAAAACCAGAGCAAACCAGTTAATAGGATCTACACACGGCTCTACACATGGCTTGCAGCGTCTCTCTTTATAAACAACAAGGACTCTAAATACACATCCTTTGTGCCACAACATCTGGAATCACTCCCTACAGAAGCCACTGCTGAAGCTGAATCCACAGATATAATGAGAGTCAACGCCACTATCAAAGAACACGTGACACAGATCATTATTTTCGTGAAGTTATTCTGTCACAGACCAAGGTCACTTAAAACATTGAAAGGGTAGTTGTTTTAGTCTTACTTTAAAAAAAATTACTGGTCCTCCGAACTAATATATTTTGGATACTGTATTCGTATTTTAAATTGTGGTAAAATACACATAACAAATTTCTCATTTAAACCATTTTAAATGTATGGTTCAGTGGCATTAAGTACATTCACATTGTTGTGCTACCATCGCCACCATCCATCCCCGGAACGTTTTCATCTTCCCAAACTGAAATTCCATACGCATTAAACACTAATTACCCATCCCCCTGCCCGCTGGACGCCACCATTCTACTTCCTGTCTCTAGGAATTTGATGACTCTAGGTACCCCACATAAGTGGAGTCATACAGTATTTATTTGTCCTTCTGTAACTGGCTTATTTCACTCAGCATTATGTCTTCAGGATTCATCCAGGTTGTAGCATGTGTCAGAACTCCCTTCCTTTTTAAAGCTGCAGAGAATTCCATTGTATATCTTCTACTTGTTTTTAATTACTATTTTATTGCAAAAAAACATAAAAGAAAACCTTCAAATTCATTCATAATCCTTTAAACAAATCAAACTGCTTACTATCTTAATGACTAGCCTTGGGCCCTATGAAAATTCAACTCACTAATTTTTAATCATGTTGTAGACAGAATTTTAAAGATTATAATTTCACTTATCATTGTACTACAAACATTTTTTTTTTTGCTGGAAATAAAGGAGATTTATGTATCCTTTGAAACCATCATCCAGAGCACGTTGGCTAGGCGTGAGAGTCCCCTCTACTAGTCATGCTGTTGAACCAAAATCATAATCTCTGTCCTCAGAAAAAGACAAATTCTAGCTCGGATGACATAAATATGCAAAAGATCAAGACAAAACATAATATATTAAGTATAAAACAGAAATTACAAGCACTAAAAGTTTCCCAAAAAAAGATATAGCTTATTTTAATAATTATTTACTGATCATCTCTTATGGAGAAAAAGTAGAAACAAGTATCCAACAATACAGGACCGAATAAATCGTTTAACCTAGAATCCATACTAGGGCAGTTCTAAAAAATGATGGGGTACAAGTATATTTAATGTGGGAAGTTATTTGCAACACACGCTGTTAAAGAAAGGGGGAAGCAAATTTTATGTAGAGCAGAATCTTTTTTCTAAAACAGAAAGCCGTCTATAAAAACATACATCCCAAAATATTAACAGTAATTATCACTTAGTTGTGAGATTAGAAGTGATTTGTATTTTATTCTTCTCCTGTGAATCTTTGTTTTATTCTGCCATGATAATCTATAACCTGTATCATTTTTTAGACCATTTTTTTCGGCCTCCAAATGAGGCAAGCAAACAATTGGCATGTGCCATCCACTTTCCAGTGCTAATTAATCACATTATTATTTCATGTTGAGCCCAGATTCAGGCTCAGAATCCTTCTTTTTTTTTTTTTTAGCTGAGCCATCCTGCTACCTGTTGGCAGCTCAGCAGCTGCTCAGCTCGGGCTAGACTCGAACTGCTGTTGCTCAGAGCTCAAACTCTTGAACGAGCTCTTAACCAACTGAGCCACTCAGCCGGCCCTTCAGAATCCTTCTTAACACAGTGCTCCCAATAGCCAGTACTGGCAGATGAGACAAACGCTAAGAGCATCTCTAGCATAGACTGGGCAAAGCAAGGTCTCTAGAGCACAGAGTCATTCAAGAAAAGATGGATCATGGAGCCATGTGCTCTTCCAATGCTACAGCCACAGAG